TCAGGCTAGAAGCAGTGCATTTTGTGAGCTGAAGAGAATGTTGAGACACTGGAAAAGAGAACATAACTATTGTGGCTGACTCCAGACATGAGAGATAACCCTGGGGGTCTGGAACAGTTTACCACTGCCAGGGATGTGTCACTGGGGAAATAAGAAAGTGAGCAGATTTGGCTAGGCCAGCTAGCCAATGTCAGCTAGTGAGGAAACAGTGGACAGTCCTGGCCCAGAAGAGAATAAGCATGGAAACTGCAATATGCACATGAATAATACCCATGGGATCCAGCATGGAGTCCCACACTTTAAAGATACCATAGTAGAATTATATTAGTAAGTACCACAGTAGAGTATTTAAATACCACATTGTATGAGTAGGATACAAGTTTCCAACCCTCACAGTTGTGGTGTATTGGGCACAGAAAGCCTTGCACTCTAGCTCTGGGTTTGTGTTTGTAACTTCAGATGAGAGAATAAGCTCATTATTGAATATCATTGAGAGAGGTTTGAGAACTGAGTGAGGCATCAAAGCTTACAAAGGACATGAACCCAGTTTGATAAGAGGTTTTGGATTGTGCTCTAATCTGAGAATAAGAAAGCAGTGCCTGAAGGGCATCATCTTGAGTTTTTGAGGTATTTGTGATGTGTGACACTACAGGTGGCAGAGGTTCAAACCTCTTGATTGGTCAGATGGCATTTTATTGTGTTTTGTGTCTCTGGATCACATAGGTTTGAATTCTGTGGGTCTACAATTGGTTTGGAAACTTGTGAACAGAGATCTGTGCCCTTTGGCACTTGTGGACATGTTTGTGATTGGTTTTTGCTTAGAGCATGAAGCTTTGAGTCATATATTGTGTGTGTTGGGGATTTTGAGTTGATCTGAGCTGTGCTTAGGATCTTTTGAGAGTTTTGTGGGAGTGTTTCGACATATTGTATTGAGCTGCAGTACTCTTTGCCTTGAGGCCTGGCAACACCTGTTGCCACCTCTTGTTTTGATAAAACAAAAAGCTTTGAGACTTAGAGAGATCTAGGACTGTTGTACATGTGCTATTGCTATTTGCATGCTGTAGATTCATAGAAGAAGACAATTATATTTGTTGATCACTACTTTTATTGCATTATAATCCCCCCATGAACTGAGAGTTTTGTGTGTGTGTTGGTGTGAGTGTGATCAGTGGATAGCACTCTGCTGTATCCATTTTCACCTTGCACACACTCAGATCCTCTTCATCACTCCTCATAATGATTGCTCAAATGCAGTTGTTAAATCCAGAACAAAGGCTGATGATGTCACAACTTGTGGATTCTGTCATTGAAATGCAATGCAGTTGTCTGGTGGTGGTATTGTCTGATTATATTGGTATTCAGTGGAGGGTGGTAGAGTGGGAGAAATGGTAGACCTCACTCTATGTGATTTGCAAGCTACTAGAGTGGACTTATTCATTACTCAAAAAATCTTAGTTGTTTTGAAACCTTTTGCCTTGCTTTCCCACTGTATTGCAAACACACAATAAATGCTATTGTTCAAAAGTTTACTTGCTGTCCACTGCCTTTGTGACTGCAAATCTTGTTTTTCTTCCCATAATTCACATCTCCATGCAGCATCCTGACTGCCTAGCACATGAGCACATTTAAGTAGACCATGAGGCTTCTCTGGTCAATATACCTCTGACTGGCTCTGTGTAATGGCTCACATGGTGGCCATGGGATAGGATCCATGATGTAGACTCTTGTTGGTCTGTCAATCACAGTGAACCATGCCAAGCTGATAATGAAAGCACTAACTCATTGTCTAAAAATGCTGTTTATCTAGAAAAGTCTGTATGCTCTAAGTTGATGTGTACACTAGGCAATATGAGGATATCTCTGCCACACATGTGACATTCTCACAGGGTCCAGTCAGTTCCAGACATAAGCAGTGAAATCTGCCATACCTGTCTCTCTTATCTCTATGGATCAATAAATGATGGTGCTGCAGGTAAAATTATCTCAAGGCACTAAAGCTGTAAAGCCTCTGTTATGCCACAGCACTGTCACTCCACTAGCAGTGTTTTTGATGTCTTACAACACTGGATAATATATACTTAACTCTCATGAGCTGCCCCTCAGACCTCTTGAATGGCTGGCAGACAGATGTTGGAAATCTGCCAGATCATTTGCCCAAATTTCACACCTGTCAATCAAGGAACCTAGCCTGATGTAAACATATTTTATCATATTGTTATTTGGCATCAGATAACCATTTGATGACCAGCTAATACTTTGGATAAGATGTCAAGTCTAAGCCCCTTAATCGAACTGAGAATGCTTCCTTGTATCAGGCAGAGACCAAAGAGAAGTTTACCTTTTCATCAATACACATATCACTATGGTTACCATGTTGAGCTACTGTTCCTAGCCCACACAGCCAAATAACAAGTGCCCAGTTGCTATTGAGGATGGATTCCATGAGTAGCACATATGTTCTCTTTATTATCATCTAAATCCTTTGCACTTCTCACTCATTTGAAGTCTATTTCTTGGCAAAGTCCAGACATTTGACTCTCCTGACTACAGATAGAGGATGACAAGTAAATGAAATTTTTCCAAAGAAGAACTTTGAAGAAGGCTGGTATCCTTTCAAGTCACCTGTCTTCAACAGGGATAAGTACATATGTTTGAACAAACTTCATGGAATCTGTTCCACCTCTCCATCAGGGATACCTGAATTAATCAGTTTGAGCACTGGAAAAAGAGTGGACAGCTGGCCCAATACCCTGCACTCATGTTACAACTTGAGCTGTAATACAGATAAAGGTTAGGAATTCTATCATTGACTGTTGACAATGTCACAGCCAAAGATGGAACAGATCTTACACATGTCTCATGAGAAGAGCCAAACCCATGGAGTCATCAACTTGTAGTTCATGTAGCTGATTGCCAAGTTCCAAGAAGTACTGTATCTTTCAGTAGTAATATATGATACATGTACAGTGTTCCAAAGTTTACAATGCAAGTGCTTACTGTGGTTTGCATAGATGTATCCACTGATCCAAAGGTTAACCATCTGAGTTCTTTCTGTCAAAGACATGGTTGCAGTTAGTCCAGGCTAATTTGTTGAGTTACAGTTCATGTAGTTTTCACCATTTGCATCAGGTGAGATTGTATCTATATTCAAGATATGAAGACAAATATCCACAGCTTCATCATGGAAAAATGTGGGCAAATTATTTTGAACAGGCAAAGATCCAACTCATCACACTTGGAAAGCATAATGGTGTCTGATTTACTAAGGTGCTTTCCTACTCCAATAACCAGGTTCTTTTAATTAAATGAATCATCATTGAAACCAAGGCTATCTGATCTTTCTTATTGATCAGAAGGCCAGGTTTACTTGAAGTCAAAAGTGGTGAGAACCCCTAAAATTACAGTTCCTCAAATCAAGCATGGATATGAACTCCTTGAAACACTCTGAAGACCAGGAATTCCATTTCACTTCTAGTCCTATTAATAACCTCCAGACTGTGCATTATAGATGCATTAAGCGCTTCACACTGACTCGGACTGATCATCAGATGTGATAGTCCATAGTGGAGCACATACAGCCAGCTGCATATAATCAAGCAAGACCTATTTCTGATGAAATATTTCATGATCCAGTAGGAACATGAAGGGCTGAGCCACCTCTAGAAAGAGAGAGCTATATCTTTCTGTCCAGATCAGGGCTACATTCCACATTGTTTGAGATCAATGTCATATAACTAAAATACCTTACCTTGTTCTGACTGCGGATGGATGTTTTGATTACCCAAACAATGTCCGCCAGCCATCCTTCAGATACACAATAACACCTGGAGATCATTTTAGATTCTTTGTATGTTAGCTCGATTGAAGGCTGGGCATGAGATCGGGTGGTCGTCGTCATCGGGTGCAAAGTCCAAATCAAGACTGGTAGCCACCGGCAGCCAGTGAGTCACCAAATGATCGGAGCCGATCTAAATATGGCATGCAGGCGCTTGTTGGTCTGCTTCATATAGCAATCATACAGCATGATCTCCCTCATGAAAGGAATATCATTCTACCGAACTTGTCGTGTAGACAGATTGAACCTTCGGATACATCTTGAAAAGATATTCCATTGATAGTCCACTCCGGTCCCCGCGGCACCTCTTACATGACGCTGGAACTGCCAGTGACCATTACACACATGGAGTAGGTCGGGTCACTGATATCTGAGTCAGGTCAAATTCGCTACTTTTTCTCATCAAGAAACGCGACATGCTAGGCTATTTCCCTGGTCCAACTGAATTTCAAGCCACAAACATATCAATATCTTCCAAATTGAAGGTGGTCGGTGTATTTTCAATCGACATTTTCTGAAATGGACGAGGTGAAAATCATTCTAGTAATTTCAACTCCGCGCCTCAATGAAGACGCTCAGGTACGACCTTAATGCTCTCTATGCTCAAATTCTCTCATCATAGAGAGTTCAACAGTTCACGTGTACTACCCGAATCCGCGTTTCAATACACACGGCTTGCAAGATTCCCCGAGGCCGTTGCATATTTATGTGCTTACCAGTCCCTTACAATCTTTGGCTCCTAAATGAATATCCAGAATATTACATCTGCCGCGGCCTTTGCTTTCACCAGAATTTTACCGGAATATTTTAATGGGCCGCTTCGGGCAGAATATCAAGTTTCTTCCACAAAGATCTATCGCCTTCAAATGATGTAAGGGTTTTGGGTTCGTCATGGTTTGTCACCTAATTTTTCCGTCGCACGATCCCACGTAACTGTTCTGACAGCCTTGTCAGGAAGACCTGGATCCTCATCTGTCCGATGCTCTCTCTGCTAGACCTTTCATTGTGTCGTCTCAAGTCTCGCAGAATCGCAGGTCCGCTGAGGACATCGCGCAGCATCTGATCAAAGATAGAATACATGCTTTCGTAGTATTGAGTCTTCGTCAACGGGTAAGATAATAAGCAAAGTAAATCGTCGTCGACAGGAATCCACAAGCTTCACACAAAGAGTGTATCCAACCGTCGGTCTCATTTAAGGGACGAAGAAGTCAGGGTCAAGTCCGGTCTAGCTGATGACACAATAAGCTCATTGTTGGCAGTTTCATCTATGACATGCAGCCAATTTCTACCACTTCTCCCACTCTACTGCCCTCCGCTGAATACCGATATAATGAGACAATACCGCCGCCGGACAACTGTGTCGCATTTCAACGACAGAATCCACAAGTTGTGACATCGTCGGCCTTTGTTCTGGATTGGACGACCGCATTTGAGCAACCATCGTGAGGAGCCACATTGCCATTTGCAAAGTTGCCTTCGGGAACGATCCGTTCATCTGTAATTTATGTTCAGCATCTTCGACAACGGGGTGGAAACTTGAGCAATTACCTCGTTGATTTTCCCGATGTACTGAAATTATCGTCATGTAAAAGACAGCTGTACAGTGGTGGTACTACGTACCTCATCGAACGCTTGCATCTGAATTGAAGTCAGAATGGAATGTCGTAGAAAGTCAAAGTTGGGAATACTAACAATTTGTTCACTCTGGATGCTATCCTAGAACGAAGATCAGGGTGCTAGGTTGAATACAGAATAGATGTTACGCCGACCTGGGCAAAGTACTTTCCGAACACGCCATCGAACGAAAAATCTTCGTCAAAGGCCTTGACATGCTACACGGAAAATGGCGTCAGAACAGTACTGCCATGATCTAGAAAGAAGCATACCTTCTCCAAGAATCCTTTGACTTCCCTATCCATGTCAGTATTAAGCATCCGACCTAAATACCACACGTCTGCCTTAAAGGGACAATATGGATCGCCAACGAGCATTTCCGGAGCGTACTCTCTAGCATATTCCCCGATCCTACCTACTCGGACATTCGGTAGGCCGGTAATTTTCCTGCTCGAAGGATCCGAGTCTTCATCGAAACAAACTGCGGTCTCGAAATCGTTGATATAGTATCGAATAGGGAAGTGAGATCGAAATGGCCCAGTGACATCAGTTTCTGTAGTCCCGTCAGGCTCCCTCAGACCCCCTAGGAAGTTGAAAAGAATATTATCACTATCAAGATCCTAGGGTTTCATCAGTAAAGTACAGACCACCATGGTCAAAATGCGTACGAGATGTGCAATCAAGTTGTCATGACAGAACTTGACACCCTGGCAAAAAACAAAAATGTGTGTTCAATGATACAGCGGAGTGCCTCGATAGACGCCACACCTTGAATACCTGCATCAGATAGTCCAGGATCTCGTCCACGTTGTAGAACCACGGAATGTACCCGCCGTCAGAAAGCAGAGGGAAAACGACGAATCTGAGTCCGTTGAATTCAAGTTCGTTCAAGAGAGGAAGGGCGCAGTTATCTCCTCGAAAAGCAGTCTGTCCTTTGCAGAGCCGCTGGATGGCTTTATAGTGCTCGTCTCCTGTGGCGTCGCCATCGATGCTGATTAGACGAATGACAACGTCTTGATTGTGTAAGGTGCGCGCAGCACAGTGGATGTTTTTCTAATGATTGGTAATGAGCAGACTGAACTGAAAAAATACAAAAACTCAAACGTACGAGTTGGCCAAAGTCTGGTTCTTGAATGGCAATGCCGGGCTCACATTCATAGCGAGTCAAGAAAGTATATCCGTCGGGTCGGCGAGGTTCGTCGCTTGCTGGAACAAGCGATACCCGGTGGTGGCCCGAGTCTCCCCTGCCCCGTTCATACAGAGTTACCCACAATGAGTAACCGTGTTCTTGGAAGAATTTTTGAAGTGGCTCACGCTTCCAGAGGTCATATGGCCAACTGCCCTCCGGCTTCCAGCATCTTTCGCGCCATTCGTGTAATGTCTTGGGCCATTCGATCAGCGTCATG